TAAGGTTGTATGGTCATAGTAAAGGTAAAGGGACCCCTGACCATTAGGTCCAGTCGTGACCGACTCTGGGGTTGCGGCGCTCATCTCACTTTATTGGCCGAGGGAGCCAGCGTACAGCTCCCAGGTCATGTGGGCAGCATGACTAAGCCGCTTCTGGCGAGCCAGAGCAGTGCACGGAAACACCATTTACCTTCCCGCCGGAGTGGTACCTATTTATCTACTTGCCCTTTGATGTGCTTTCGAACTGCTAGGTTGGCAGGGGCAGGGACTGAGCAACAGGAGCTCACCCCGTCACGGGGATTCGAACCGCCAACCTTCTGATCGGCAAGTCCTAGGCTCTGTGGTTTAACCCACAGCACAACCTGCGTCCCAGCGCCACGTATTAAATTGTATAGGTTACCTTGACTTTTGCAATATAATTGTTTTGGGGTTTTTCCAGCATTACAGGGCTGCCTTGTGCTCCATTTGGTATCCACTATTAGCATGAAGACTGGATCTCGCATGATGCTATCAGTAGAGGAACTGCTGTGCTGCTGCTCCTTCCTGTCTTGCCAGAATAATGGTAAAAGGTAAAGGACCCCTGGGTGGTTAAGTCCAGTCAAAGGTGACTATGGGGTTGCGGTGCTCATCTCGCTTTCAGGCCGAGGGAGCCAGCGTTTGTCCACAGACAGCTTTCCGGGTCATGTGGCCAGCATGACTAAACCGCTTCTGGTGCAACGGAACACTGTGATGGAAACCAGAGCGCATGGAAACACCATTTACATTCCTGCCACAGCGGTACCTATTTACCGTACTTTTCTGGGTATAAGACTGTGTTTGTTACCCAAAAATCATGTTAGAAATTGGGGGTTGTTCTATACATGGATAGTGCATTGTGGGGACTTGAGATCAGTTGCTGCCATGAGTCATAGATTGTCACTGGTGGCCGCTTTTGTCGGAGAGGGGACAGAAGATCGGTGGATTTTGCGGTCTGGTAGGTGTGCGATTTTCAGCAATCCCCCTAAAAAAAAGCTCAACAACTTTGGGGGGATTCCCTCCCCCCTCCATTTGTGTCTTATACATGAGGGCATGTTATACACAGAAAAATACAGTATCTACTTGCACTGGTATGCTTTCGAACTGCTAGGTTGGCAGAAATTGGGACAGAGCAATGGGAGTTCACCCCGTCACTGGGATTTGAACCGCTGACCTTCTGATCGGCAAGCCCAAGAGGCTCAGTGGTTTAGACCACTGCGCCACCTGCGTCCTTTGCCAGAATAATGAGAGAAGCCCTGGCAACCCTGAAAGAGTCCCTGCTATGGCTGGTCTCCATATCAGTGTCGTTCCTTAGGAAACACCGGCATGAGGAAGAACTGTAGGGTGGGCACCTCCTCCGTGGGTGAGGCTATTTCCTGTGGCAATGTGGTTAGGAGCAGCATCGCATCAGCTCCCTCACATCTGGTGTCATGTGCAAAGTCAGTTGAATCTCCGAGATTCTGCTGTCTGGCCCCTTATCACTCCTCTTGTGTTTGTTTAATCCTAGATAGGCAACATTCTAAATTATCGTTTTTCTATATGTATGTAATATTGTCTGATCCTATGTTTCCGGTGGGGGGGAGCTGTGGCGATCACACAGGGTCTCTGGACGTTTCACCGTCTATTGATCCCTGTGCCACCACTTTATTTCTTGCTGCCACCACCCAGGCCTTACCTGGGACAATACTGAGTCCAGTCAGGGTTAAATTGAAACATAAACTTTTGTTTATTTACTGCAGTTTAACAAGCGTGTGGTTTCATAAACAGTATCAGTCAATTACATTCATGGGGTGCCTATCCAGACCTATAACTTTCGCTACCTGCTCTCACTCACTAAACCACCTCTCCGATATTTACTTGTCTGCCTAGCTCCCTAACTGTTCCTGACTCAGCCTATTTCACTACACTAACTCAACCTACCCCCAGACTCTATCTCAATTCACTCCCACCCCAACCAACCACCCAACTCCCAACGAACTCCTCCCAGAGCTGGTTTTATAGTCCCTCTGACTCCGCCCCCTGGGTCCTGATTGGGTAACCTGTTTAACTATTTCACCTCTAGCACTCTCTCATATGTTAACGTCACAGGGGCATCTATAATAAAACATATGGCACAGAACTTAGGACCAAACCACTTCATATCATAGAGAGATATATCTGAAAGTTTTCCCCTTGTAAGCAATTGCTCATTCTCCATGTGTGGAGAAAACTGACACATCAGGGGAAAGGCTAAATTCGGGTCTTCTGCCTGATGATCTTCTTTTCACTAGGTGGAGGAAACTAGAGGTGTTAAAACATATTAAAATGCTGTCCTGTACAAGGAGTTGAAAACTACACATTCTAGGACCGGTCTTCCATGCGATTGATCTGACTGTATAGATCAGCCTTTACTTCCATTTAGGAGTCCAGCCATCATCACATCTCATTCAATTGCTCCCCACCCAATTCTCATTTAGTGCAATTTTCTGTAGCCTTTTTTTTTCTTCAGTCCAAGAGAGAAAAGAAACAAATTGACTTCTTAGTGTTACCGACATGCAAAAAATGTCGCTAATAAGATTTCCATTAAAATCATGATGGAGAGATTAGATTAAACAGCGAAGAAGCCATGACTCGTGTTTTTTTCCTGTGTGTACACATTTACTCAGGATTGAAACAGCTGTTCTTGCATAAGCTGACATCTCAATTCGACAGCTCTGGAAAACCTCGCCTCCACTTGAAGAGGAGAAAAGTTGGAGGATCAAAAATTGAAGCGTTCAAAAATGTCCGGCTGAACGGCTATCAGAACAAGCACACGTAAGTTTTCTCCCAGTTAGGCCTTTGGCCAAACGATATATCACACACCATTCTCCAGATTCATGGTGTTGGTTTTTTGAAAGAAGACATGCCTACGTTATAGATTTGGGTCAGGGACATGACCTCCAAATCAAACGCAGAACAAATGCACTTAACTAGAACAGATGCCTGCTGGCAGAAGTTGCTGAATATTGAGGGCTAGCAAGGTGCTATCATTATGATGGGCCAAAGGCATGGAGAAACAGCCTGTGCGTGTTGCAGAAACCCTTATTCAGAGAGTGCAGTGCCTCTCTATATTTCACCCCCATGAGTAATAATAATAATAATAATAATAATAATAATAATAATAATTTATTTATACCCCTCCTATCTGGCTGGGTTTCCCCAGCCACTCTGGGCAGCTCCCAACATAATATTAAAAACACGATAAAACATCAAACATTAAAAATTTCCCTATACAGGGCTGCCTTCAGGCTGCCTTCAGGTGTCTTCTAAAAGTCAGACAGTTGTTTATTTCCTTGACATCTGATGAGAGGGCATTCCACAGGGCGGGTGCCACCACCGAGAAGGCCCTCTGTCTGATTCCCTGTAACCTCACTTCTCACAGTGAGGGAACCGCCAGAAGGCCCTCGGCGCTGGACCTCAGTGTCCGGGCTGAACGATGGGAGTGGAGACGCTCCTGCAGGTATACTGGGCTGAGGTCGTTTAGGGCTTTAAAGGTCAACAGCAACACTTTGAATTGTGCTCAGAAACGTACTGGAAGCCAATGTAGGTCTTTCAGGACCGGTGTTATATGGTCTCGGCAGCCACTCCCAGTCTAGTGTCTAGCGGCTGCATTCTGGATTAGTTGTAGTTTCCAGGTCATCCTCAAAGTTAGCCTCACATAAAGTGCATTGCAGTAGTCCAAGCGGGAGATAACTAGAGCATGCACCACTCTGTCATGAGGACCATCTTAGTGGAGGATGTCTACCCTAGTTGTAAAGGCATTGTTTTCGCTACATTTTGGGGAGGAGGGTGGCTTGAGCAAGAGCGTCTACCTCCCTAAATGAGCCCCCAATATCATTTATTCCAAAGCTTCTTGGTGTCTGTGTGTCTTGAAAGACAATAGAGTGTGCCTCAGGGGTGAAGCCAAACTGCTGCGCTAGCTGTATTGAATTGATCTCTCTCCTGGGCACAAGCCTGGGCAGTGTGTATGGAGGTCCTGGGATGCCCAGACAACAAGATCTCCCTCTTAGCCTTGCTGATGCAGTCCGAAGAAAAGCAGAGCAATACATTTGGCACCAGCTTGGCTGAAGAGATGCCAGAAGTGTACAAAGCACCGTTCAACTGCCTTAGGAACTCCACTCTGGATTTGTGAGGGGTTTACTCTTAAGCCTTTTCTTCTTCCAAATACACTCCCCCACCGGAGGTACTACCCCTCCTCTAACACCCCATACAGCCCCAAAAGATTAAAATATGTCGGACGCTAGGAATTTTGGGGATGGGAATTGGGAGATGAACCATGTAATTTTATGCATGTCTAATAAGCTCATAAGGTTTAATGGGACTAAGTATATGTGGCCCTGATTCCCAGAGACCAGGAAGATTCTGATCTGTATGCCAGGAACTGCCTCATCTTTCTGGTGCCTTGAGTTGAACAAGCAAGGTCTGTTCTTCCACATCAAATGAGCATTGATTAAAGGTGAAGACAGACGCAATGTTTTGACTGTGGTGGAAGTAGTTTGAGCACACATTTGCTGCATTCTGAGAGCCATCCGTTTTCAGGACAGAAAAAAACGTGCTCAAAAACCACTTGTGCTTAACTTTTACGTTGCATCCATCTTCTTCCTAATTATAGAGGCGACTGGATTAGATAAAAGCAGAATTCACTCTCTGCATGGTTACTGTGCAACCTTATAACGCAAGCAAAACAATGCCTGAAAACTGCAGAGTAACTTTGGTGTTTCAAAGATTTGCTCTTGACTGAGTCCATAATCAGGACCAGGGGAAATGAGAAGTGCTGAATTTTTACCCTTGGTGAGAAATAACACATAGGGCCCTTCAGCATCTGTTCCTCTCTACGTTTATCTGAAAGGGAAGGATGCAGCCTGACCTCAAGGGAGTGGTTTGCTAGGTGGAGCCGAGTGCGATTTAGCGAGAAAACAACAACAAAAACCCAGCAGTCACGCTGGACAGAAAAAGGAGAACAAATTGTACTGAATGAAAAACATGTTACGGAGAGGTAGGTGCTTCACAGGAAAGCAGGGCTGTCACATGGTGAGAGGCTGTGGTCTCTCCTTTTCTATTAAATAAGAATTTCAGCTGCAATCTTACCTGGAACCGGGAGGAAGCCCTTGCAAACTCAATGAGGCTTATATCTGAGTAGGCATGTATAGGATTGTACTCGTTGTATGGACAAGGAACCATTTTTACCCTAGAGAATAACCAGCTCCAGAATTTGCTTGTCTTCCACCCTCGCTTCTATGCTTTCTGGTTTTCTGCCAATCTGTCTATGACTGAAAGGAGAGAGAGCCTTCTTTAAATACGCTGAAAATAACTGTCTAAAAGCCTTGCCTTTTATTCTCTTTGTTTCAGTTGTGAACCGCTTAGCAGTACTGGTTTCGTTTAGTTTCTGGTTTGGATCCAAGGTAATAGGGAGAGCTACGTTGCAGCTCCTTGAAAAATCGACTTGGAATTCTATTTTTTGAATTCGGGTTCTGTTTGATATCCTTTGGATCAGGAAAGCTTACTCCCTTCTAGGGTGCTCCTTGCAGAGTGACATATGTTTGGCTTTCTTCTCCTGGCGGTATCTCTTGTTTATCAGGTGAAGTAAGCTTTGCCTCAAAGAACACACCACAATAAATCAGGTTAATCTTTAAGGTGCAGCAGGACTCACTCCCTGCCAGTGGCATGGTTGTCCCAGGTGAAAAATTGTTAGGGGGCACACAATTTCAACACCCGGTGCTGCCTCAACACAGCTGTGTGCTTCTGTGACTGGACTCCACTGAAAACAGCTTCTCCATGCAAACCAGGAAGTGACGTATCCAGACAATGGAACAACTCTTCTTTTCTCATCTCTGCAGCTGCAATCTCCTGGGTGACGCGGGTGCAGTTGGGCAGTTGAATGTGCATGCGTGCTCTGTCGGTTTCCCTCTCTCCCACCCACCTCCTCTGCGCAGCCCTGGGCCCTGGCAACCTACGCTACGCCACTGCTCCCTGCACCCTTCCACTATGTTGTTTTCTAAAAAGCGGGAGAGCACTTGGCTCCCAGCTGGAATGTGAGGAACATTATAAGGCAAACAGTTTGGGGATGAAAATGGGGCTGGGAGGAGCAGAGGGACTATTCCCCAAAAGAGTTACCTTTATTGCCAGTGTGGTGTAGTGGTTAAGAGCGGTAGACTCGTAATCTGGGGAACCGGGTTCACGTCTCCGCTCCTCCACATGCAGCTGCTGGGTGACCTTGGGCTAGTCACAATTCTGAGAAGTCTCTCAGCTCCACTCACCTCACAGAGTGTTTGTTGTGGGGGAGGAAGGGAAAGGAGAATGTTAGCCGCTTTGAGACTCCTTCGGGTAGTGATAAAGCGGTATATCAAATCCAAACTCTTCTTCTTCTTCTTCTCCCTGCTCACTTCCTCTTTGTTTCAGAACTATTTCAGCCCACATCACACTTATTCTTCCTTCCAAAATGATAACCTATCCAGAATCATGTTGGGAACGGTAAAGATGTGACAAAGCGGAAGGGCTGTAGCCCAGTTGTTAAGGCATCTGGTCTGCATGCAAAAGGTCACAGGTTCAAATCCTGGCATCCCCGGGTAAGGCAGGGAGACACCCTCTCTGAAACCCTAGAAAGCACCTTCCAGTCAGTGCAGGCAATACTGAATCTACATAATCCTGCTTCCTAGGTTCCTAATGCCTAACAGCCAACCAAATTTGGCATATTGCACACACACCCCTCTCCAAAGGCACACTTGCAATTGTATTCCTCGTTTAACAAGGTACACACTAAGTCTCTCTAATATATGAAGGAATAATAACATGAATTCCAAGGTTCCTTAGCAAGTCCGTGTGATAGTAGCTGTTTAAGCAATTAATCTGACAGGGCAATTTTATGCATGTTTACTGAGATGTCCCACTGTGTACAATGAGCTTACTTCCAGGAAACAATACACAGAATTATAGGCCTAGATCCTTTGTTCCGTTCTCATTGCTTTCTCCTGAATCTTACTGTATTCTTTATTGCGTTCTTGTTTTTTACTTCCTAAACTAATGTTTTTGAACAGAGAAAAAAGACTCCCAAGCATTTCTGATGGAGGATCACACGACCAGCGCTTTAAAAAGAAACAACATGTACTCGTCTAACACTGGCAGCTGACTCCAGCAGATAAGATACGCAGGGCTCACCCCCAGTCTTCAAAGGACACACCCTGTTGAGGCCATCCTAAGATGGATAGCCCCGCCCTAACCATCTGCAGGGCTCGAGCCTCTGTTTTGCAACACACGGCAGTCTCCAGGGAGACTGAGATCATCGCGAAGCAAACGAAAACGAATGTTGTGCTGGTTTTGTTAGCTAGTTTTCGGTTGACCCAGCAAAGCACCCTCCAAAGTCAGAGAGGTGGTTATGAAGACTGCAGTTCCCAAGTTTTTAACCCTCCTTGTACTCACTGCCATCCATTACAAAGGCAGTCCGGGAATGTACCCCGCTTCCAATTAACTCGGATTGATCTCAAATGGATCAGACTTGCACTCCAAATCTAAATGTGGTCCACTAGGTCTGAAGTCATGTCTGCAACGCAATTTACAACTTAGTGCATTGTTTGCTGTTGTGATGGTTATTCAAAGCCGATAACATTTTCAGGAAAAGAGCAGGTAGAAATAGAAAATGAAAAAGAATCAGAACAGGGTCCCCCTCAAAAAAGAGAAACCCCCATGTTTGATTGATGGCCAAATAACATCAAAAGTTTGTGATACAATCACTGTATTTATTATAAGTAATTTTCTCCTTATTGGCCAGGTCTCCATTCTACCATTGCATAGAAGAGAATTCAAAGTTCCAACATCTAATTGATTTACATCTAGAAGTAGGAGGAAGTCCTCAAAATTCATTTTTTTATAATTCTCCAAATATAGTAATTATTCGTCTTCTGCTAAATAATGCAGCTACAGAGATGGGTTGGGTACATTCCAGGCTGTACTGCCAATTCAGACAGAACAAGATTAAGTTGTCAGTAGGGATGGAGGACAAATTTGATTTGGTACACAGTTAAAGCCAGCTCTAACTAATTCACACTTTCCTAAACAAAAAGTGAACCAAAACACAGCCATCCTCATAGCTGTCAAGTGTCCCTTATTTGAAGGGACAGTCCCTTATTCCAGCGCCATGTCCCGCTGCTGTCCCTTATTGATGGATGTCCCTTAAATGTCCCTTAAATGATGTCCCTTAAATTTCAAAGGAAGCAGCTCCTCTCCCTCCCTCCCTCCCTCCCTGCTGGCCAGGTAGGAGGGAGGCTCCAACTGTGTTGCTCACCCAATAAGAAGTCTAAGAACGACTGGGGGGTGGAGCTTGCATGCCTTGTGTGTGGCTAGTTAATGCAAGCTGAGGAGGTTTTTGAATGCTGGACGCCATTTTGTTGCACATGCTGCTGCAAACTTTGCAGTGCAAAGCCAGGCCGGGGAGCCATCTTAAGTTGAGGCTGCATAGGCCTTGTGGTGCATGTGATTCAGATTCTATTTAGTTGAACCTCTGGTTACAAAATTGGTTGGACAGTGTTCTCGAAGCTACCAGCATGAGTTTGACCAGACTCCAGGAGGACAGGAAGACTGGAGTGCCTGGAACAGGTGAGGCAGCAGGTCCCTTATTTTGGCTGCTGGTCCCTTATTTTCAAATCTGTAAGTTGATACAGCTATGGCCATCCTTTGAAATTGGCACTTGTCTGAATTTTGTGATGCAGCTTTCCAACCAATGGTTATCAAAATGCACATACAGTCGTACCTTGGTTCTCGAATGGAATCCATTCCGGAAGTCCGTTCGACTTCCGAAAACATTCGAAAACCAAGGTATGGCTTCCAATTGGCTGCAGAAGCTTCCTGCACTCAATCAGAAGCCATCAGATGTTCAGATGGCATCAGATGGCATTTGGGAGCCAAAACGTTCGAGTCACAAGGCATCCGAGAACCAAGGTACGAGTGTATTAGGCAAAACTGTGGATAAAAATGCATATATTAGTTAAAATAACATGCGAAATATATTATAGGGGGAATTGCTTGCAAAAATGTGTACATTAGTCCAAACTGCATTTAAAAATGGGTTTATTAGGAGATATTCGCACTAAAATGCTGATTTATTTTTTTAATTTTAAAAAATCATCACCAAGGACTGAATTTCAGATTGGAAAAATGAGAGCCAAAATCGACATATCCGTCCATCCCTGCATAGGAGTCCTTTGAGTTCTCCTTGGGTCGTGACGAGGATCAGCTGAGGTTTCACATCTGTTTTCAAAGCGGAGGGAGAAAATCCAACGTGATAAACTATCTCCAGGCACTGGAATAAAAGTAGTTCTGTGGTCACTGAGGACAAAGTTTTTTTTGTTTTTTTAATAATTTTTTATTAAGGTTTTAAACAAACAAAAAAGAAAAACAACACACACAAAAAACAATACAAACCTTAACAATAAAAACACAAAACATAACAATTAAAAACAAACTCTCTTTTCCATTTCCAATTTTAAATTACTTATTTTCTGGACGTCTCTCATGCCTCTCTTTGTATTCCAATCACATTATTTGTCCAGCAGTTTCGTTTCCGCTTGTGAATCCGAATCTGTAATTTAATGAAACGTTAGAATATATAACTTCAGCTTTGAGACCTAACCTTGATCTGAATGTCATATAGGCTTGAAATTTTTCCTTTTATTATCAAATTTTCATTTCTTTAAACATCTTTAATCTTGATCTTTAATCTTAATCTATCCTTAACTTTAACCTGTACAGCTGGAAACCACTTGTTTTCAGTCCAACATCACTCTAACATTCCCACTGAGGACAAAGTTATTATGTCTTTCACAAATGAGCACCGGTTTGACCCCATGTTCATGCAAAACGCTATACGATTTGATATCTCCCTTGAAGGTTGTGGCAGTCAATTGAAAGATGGCATTCGCTTTCAGAAGGCCGCCTTTGAAGTATCTCTCATACACACTCCTCCCGAGCAATCTGATGCAAAGAGAGCGCAATGTGCAATGCCCTTTAAAGATGCAGACATTGCAAAGAATGCTGGTTAGCGCACTCAGACCACTACTCACATTCCATGTTTCGCCACACCTGTTTCCAGGGTGGGGATGCAAAACTGTTGTCACTGCCACATCTGAAGCACGGCCTCATCAACTATGCTCTTCACTGGTATAAATTAAATTAGATTGAAAGTGCAAGATAATATTTAACAGGCAGGACAAATCCAACTGTTGTGTGGGAGGGGAAACCTGTTTCAAGTTGATCGGCGTCTCAGGTGTTACAGAGAAGACCCTCCATTTATGTGGAAATAGATGTTCAGAGCTGATTACTTGAGGGGAAAAGGCTCCACCTGAATATTCAGCAGATTTTTGCTCTTGTGGGTTTGACAAATGTTCCCCCCCTCTCCCAGCTGTAAACTCTACTGTAGCTGGCTTTGAAGTTCTAAGCACACCTGTGCAGATCGCAAACAAAGTCAGGCTAGACCTCCCACACCCTTGCTCAAAATTCACAATGCAACATGTCAAGTAAGATATGCCCTCCAGTCCCTTGTTTCAAAGCCAAAGCCATACCTGCTAAGTTTCTGCGAAGTTTAACCCTCGGTCTGAAAGAAATGCCGGGAGACCAAAACAGAAAATCACAATGGAGGTATTAGGTACATTAAAGACAGAAAGGTGCGCAGACTGATCAGAGTTGCATAACAACAGCACAATTCATGAGAGCAAAAGTCTCTCTGGGCTCAGTGTCCTGGTTCTAATGTAGAAGGGATATTCCTAAAAACCCCGCAAATAATTTTAGAACCTTGATCAGTAGTTATTCTTGCTCGGCCCAGTATACCTGAAGGAGCATCTCCCTCCCATCATTCAGCCCGGACACTGAGGTCCAGCTCCAAGGGCCTTCTAGTGGTTCCCTCACTGTGAGAGATGAAGCTACAGGGAACCAGGCAGAGGGCCTTCTCGGTAGTGGCACCCGCCCTGTGGAACACCCTCCCATCAGATGTTGAGGAAATAAACAACTATCTGACTTTTAGAAGACATCTGAAGGCAGCCCTGTTTAGGGAAGTTTTTAATGTTTGATCTTTTATTGTATTTTTAATGTTCCTTTGGGAAACCCAGCCACATGGGTGGGGGAAGAAGAAGAAGAAGAAGAAGAAGAAGAAGAAGAAGAAGAAGAAGAAGAAGAAGAAAGAAGAAGAAGAAGTTGTTGTTGTTAGGAAGTTGACTATGGTATGGGCCAAGGCTTCTCTGAAAATGGCCTAATGTCAAAGGACTTCCAGGTAAACACACGCAAAAGTGACAGAGACCAGAAAGAGACTGATTTGCAGAGCTTTATTTTCAGCTGGAGCTCACTGGAACTCATTACAAAAGAACAAGGGAGGTGTTCATGGTGAGTCCTGGCACTGGGGACACGGCCGCAAGGCCAGGCCAGGCTCTAGATCCCCGGTGACAGGCAGAGTGCACCTGGTTCACACGCCTTCAAAATCATGCTATGCCCCTGTCCGTGAGGAACTTATAGTCCAAAGCTAGACAGCAGTTTTCTCATGTTTTGTTTTATTTTAAAAAATGGCACTTTGAATGCACTGTTTATAATATTTAAAAGAAAAAAGAAAGGCATGGACATTGTTTTAAAACGTTTTGTAAGATTTTGGCACGGAATACAAGAAACTAAAAGTTAGTTATACTACCATTCATGCGATATAAATAAAATAAAAATAAAAAGAAGAGCCAGTTCTGTAACTTGATCCGTCGGTATGAACACTCCACACTTGTGGACATTATTTGTCACCATTAAATCATGTCCAGCAGCAAGATAATATCTTCATTTTTAATAAAAGTTTGCAAATTCATGTTTGCATAACAATCTATCACTCTCAGTTCATCATACTAAATTCTTTCACTAATTTAGGCTAAGCTAGATATCTTTTTTGGATCTCCAGATGCTATAACATAGCTTTTATGCTTGCTATTGTCAGCTCTTCCAGGACTGATCAGGGCAAGGCTTGTTGGGACTAGTTAATCTTCATTGTGCCATTCAAGCTTTAGGTGAGAGGAAGGCCCTATAGACCAGGGATAGGGGATTGTGGCCCTCCAGGAGTTCTTAAACTACAGCTCCCCTCATCCCTGGCCATTGGCCATAGCAGCTGGGGCTGACAGGTGTTGGACTCCAACAACATCTGGAGGACTAGATTCTCCATCCTTATTGTAAACAGTTTGAGACAGGTTGCTAATCCCATAACCCAGAATCCCCCTGTTCTTAGGAACCACATGGTGGTTCTGGAGAGACGATCCCAAGTCACCTGCTGCTATATTGCTTCCATTCTGTTGGGCTCCTTCAGTGTGAACAACTTGCTTCTGAGGGAGAATGGCAGTCTTATAGCTTCTGGACTCATATCAGCATTTGGACCTTATTTGCCTGAGTGGAGTAAACCCCACACAGGATGTAGTTTAGGCGGATGCTTAAAGCACAAGAATTCCAGAGGTTCTGGGCTCATCAGGATGTTTGTGTGGAAAGAACCGCATTAAAGAACTGTTAAGAGTTTGGGAGTAATCTTCGACACCTCCCTTTCCATGGAGGCGCAGATTGCAGCTATAACAAAGGCGGCATATTTTCATCTCTGCCAAGCTAAGTAGTTGGCTCCTTACCTCTCTCGCCCTGACCTAGCTACTGTGATCCACGCAACGGTCACCTCCAGACTTGATTATTGTAACTCACTCTGCCTGGGGCTGCCCTTGAGAGTGACCCAGAAACTCCAGCGGGTGCAGAATGCCGCGGCGAGACTCCTTACGGGGTCTTCGCTGCGAGATCACATTCACCCGGTGCTATACCAGCTGCACTGGCTCCCGGTGGAGTACAGGATCAGGTTTAAAGTGCTGGTTTTGACCTTTAAAGCCCCATACGACCTAGGACCCTTGTATCTACGGGACTGCCTCTCCTAGTATGTCCCACAGATGAGCTTCAAACAAAAACATCTTGGAGGTCCTGGGCCACAGGGAGGTTAGGCTGGCCTCAACCAGAGCCAGGGCTTTTTCGGCTGTGGCCCCGATCTGTTGGAACGCTTACCCCCTCCTTTGGTAATCCCCGTAGAACTCTAGCCCAATGGTTGCTATTAATTTGATTCTGATTTGGTTTTAAAATGAATTGATTTTAGAATGCTGTGTTGCTTTTATTGTTGTTAGCTGCTCTGAGCCCGGCTTCGGCTGGGGAGGGTGGGATATAAATTTTTTTTTTAAATTATTATTATTGATAGCATCTACCTGCTTCCTTCCAGGCCTTTGAGGCACACCTGTGGCCGTACCTCTCTCCAGGCCAACCGTGCGCCATGCCCACCTTGAGGTCTTTTGCCTATCTGCAGTGTCTCTTCTTTGCTTGGATGGAGAGAGGTGTGCGCATAAACCTCTAATGGATTCTGCACAAAGGCAAGAGTCGCATCCATTGCTCTGCGCTCGGTTTGCTTCTGGCTCCGCCCACCATTGCATTGTGGCTTCCGGAAGGTTCCTCACAAGGGAATGTGACCTTCAGGCTGGTAAAGTTTTCCCACCCCTGATCTACACACTCCCAAAGCAATGTGGAATGTGCATCGTGGGAAAGCAGTTTCCAAACTCTTGCAGGTAATTGAGGCCAAGCCGGGAGATGTTTGTTAATCAAAGCTCACGAAGGACATGTCCACACCCTGCATTTAAAGCACTCTTATATCACTTTGACAGCTATGGCTTCTCCTCCCAGAGAATCCTGGGAAATGCGGTTGGTTAAGGGTTCTGAGAGTTGTTTAGAGACCCTTAGCAAACTTCATTTCCCATAATTCTCTGGGGAAAGCCGTGACTGTTGAAGTGGTGTAAACCTAGGTTGCGGGAGTGACCTAAATCAGGGCAATTCTTGCAGCCACCACAACTTATAACACAAAGCCTACACAAACCTAAGAAAACTTACTCATGGCCTTAAAAAAAATAATGAAATGCACCTTTGTACTAAGGTACATGGCTAAAAGGTCCAAGTTGTGTACTCTTGCTTTAAAAGGGGGTTCATAACATGTATTGCTATAGACCTTACCAATAATCTTCCTCCCCCTTGTAGACATTATGAAATCTTTCTCCCCTCTAGAGAAATCTGAAATGTTGCCCATCTCCATCACAAGAAAGGTATTTCCTTGGCAGAAGAATTTCCCCCACCTCATGTCTTACATTGTCATTGTGGTGTGTTTTTTTTAAAAAAAAGTTACAGTAATTCTGCATGTATGGCATGATCAAGCTGTACCACTGCAAGAATACATTACAGTAATTACAGTAATTCTGCATGTATGGCATGATCAAGCTGTACCACTGCAAGAATAATTTACTGGGTTCTCATAAAGCATCCTGGA